TTGTCTTCAGATACTTTCAAAATGGTATGGCTTTGTTTGTTTGTTAATTTTTATTTATTTTTTATTTTGGTCACGCTGCATGGCATGTGGGACGGTTCCCCAACCAAGGGATCGAACCCAGGCCTCCACAGTGAAACCACTGAATCCTAACCATTAGGCCACCAGGGAATTCCCCAAAGTGGTATGGCTTTAAGAAATTTTTTTTCTAAACAACTGCTTAGTTAAGCATGGTTCCATAATTCAATGGCTATTTTAATGTCCTAGCTTTGAAACGGGTTATGTAAGCCCAAATTTTCAGTGGGAGAAAATACTCTACTCAAAACTTTCCAATAAAAAAAAAAAAACTTTCCATTAGTTTGATAAGTAGAATCCTAAATGCTCACCCGAAATCTCAATCTTTGGAGCAGCGTTTTGTTTCCTGGCTAGGGTATGGGAGGCAGAGTCCCTGCAATATGCTCAGCAAATCTCCATTCTTCTCTGCAATTCTAAACAATGCAGCAAAGGAATAGCCCAAGTCTGAAAGGCTAAGTAGACTTTTTCTCAGACTCCCATTTACATTTATTATCGTTAAAACATATGTGAATATGTTTTTGAATATTGTTTTGAATCCTCAATCAAGAGCAATGTCTTCAAGAAGGTAGAGCTAGATTGTGAACGGGAGTTATGCCTAATTTATCTTTCTCCACCTCCCCCCTAACACCCCCTCCTCCACCAGAGTCTAGCTCAGGAATACTTGAGCATGTTCATGGCTTTATCATTAAAGAACATTTAAGAAGTGGGCGATTGTATTTTGCATATGGTATAGCAGAAGGTGAGATGAACAACAGTGATGAAGAGACAGGCCTATAAAGGCCAAGCATCCCACAGATCAAACAAAACTATATAAGGTATTAGCACTGTGGGGTGGTCAAAAATTCATCCTTTCAACAAATAAGTGCCTCTGTATGCCAAGCACCAAGATAGGTACCTTGGGGTCATGGAGGAAGCACCTCCTTAAATACAAAACCAAACAAATTAAGGTTTTAAAGAGGATTCTGTAGCACTTCTCAACAATATAAACATGAACTGAAAAAAAAATGAATTATTAAGAGTAGCAACAACATGGATAAAACTCAAAATTAACTATGCTGAGTAAAAGAAGCCAGACAAAAAAAAAGAGTACATCTTTATTTGATTCCATTTATATAAAATTCTAGAAAGTGCAAACTAATCTACAGTGACAGATAGCAGATCAGTGGTTGCGAGGGGCCCGAGAGAGGAATTACAAAGGGGCACAAGTAATCACTTAGGGAATGACGCCTATGTTCACTATGTTGATTGCGGTGATGGTTTCACAGATGTATAGTTATGTCAAAACTTAATGAGCAGTACACTTTAAATATTGTATGCCAAAATACCTCAATAAAGCTGTTTTCTAAAAAATCCAGAGCAAAGAGATAGAGAGGGAGGGAGGGATGGGAAGAGAGAAAGAGAATGAATTCTAGGGCCTCTCTCGCAATTCTTTATTGCTCAAGGACACCAGATGGTGTCGATTGTAAGATCCTTTTTCGGTATTCCGCTGCAGTCTTAGCTGCCAGGATGGTCTATAGGCTCAACTTTCTCGTCTTAAGTAGAACTGGCCTGTGAAGTCTTTCACTTCACCTGGTCTGGTCTCCTCTTGGACCCAGGATGCAGCTTGGACTCCTTGTCTCTGCCTCCACTTGCTGGGATGTTTCCTCCATTCGAAATGATCCAAATTTCCTCTCCTTTCAGGCCCAGCTAAGAGAAGATTTATTTCAGTCTTCCCTATCCATTCCTGCAGAAAGAGTTCTGTACCTTCTTCAAGTTTCTCTGGTATTTATATTCTTTTTTTTTTCTGGTATTTATATTCTAAACTGCTCTTTTGACACCTTTTTGCTGCCATGTACTGTTTGCTTTTCATATGTATGTTTTATCTTCTGAACTAGATTATGAACTTCTTCAGGGCAGGGACTGAGTCCTATTTATCTTTGTGTCTCTCCCAAGGCACTTAATAAGTGCTTAATAAGTGTCAGTTGTAAAACACCTCACTTTGACAGTCTTTCCAAAGCATTATCTCAGCCATTATCTCATCTGATCATTACATCAACACTGTGAGATTGGAGGAGCTAGAAATATGTTAGTTCTTCCTTTTGACAGATAAGGAACCGGAAACCCAAGGTCACACAGTTTGTTAGAGACACAGATGGAACAGATAATTGCATGTGAAGGTTTGATCCAATTCAAGTCTTCCCAAGGCTCTCCCCTCTGCCCTCCTACCTGAAGACAGCCCTCTGTACCCTTCACCTCCTCATTCCCCCAGTACTTTAGAGCTGCTTAGCCAAAGCTTTGTAGTACCATTTTAGAAAACTTGGCAACTATGAGACATGAAATTTCTGTAGATTTCCGATCAGCTCTGAGTCACCAAAGCACGCTTGCTATTTTGTTCCAAGTGCTGTTTGTTAGGGACATTATGCCTGATATTTAATGACGCTGCACTACAGAACTGAGGAAGCATAAATGATCTTTAAAAGCCTTAGAAAATGACAGCACTTTAACATTAAGCATGAAAGGTGGCAGTTGACAAGATGACCAGGGGTAAAAAATTTCTGCACTGGATCACCCTATTTCCCTATGTATTGCTAGCAGAACTCTCTAGTTGGTACCAAAAGAAAAGGTTAAACTCTCTGCCACCCAGCACATCTAGCCCTGAGATTCTTTTCCCTCTACCCCAGACTATCTGTTTCTCTGATGCAAGAGATTTCATAACCTTGGTGCAATTTACTTAGCATCAAATATTTTTAAAATAATTCATCTAATTCCAGTCGACTTTGAAAAAAGGGTGGGTGGGGGTTAAGACAGAGAGAGGTGGGTAGACCCCCCTGAGAGGAGCAATGACCTTTGGTCAAAGTCCATAGCCAGCCTGAGGTCAAGGCCAGAGAGGAAGTCAGGGGAATTGTCCTCCCACCTCCTGCTGGGATCCCCCATTGGCTGATACTAGTCAGAGAATATGGGAACCCTGAAGTCCTGAGGTAGTCCTTACCTTCTACATAGGTTGAAGAGAAGGTGGATCTGGGGGGCAAATGTAAGACATCCAGCTCACTGGTCTAGGGGTGGGCAGGTGACCCAACCTGGCAATAAGACATATGGGAAAGTCTGCTGGGTGCTCCTGGGAAAGATTTTCTTCCTTGACTGTTACAGGAAGAAGGCTCTTCCCCTTCCATCTTGCTTGGGATGCTGTTGAGAGGATGTACTCCTTGAACTTCTGAAGCCACCTTTTGACCATGAGGGGATTGCGAAGAGAACTGTAAACAACCTTGATACCAGGGAGCTACTAAGAAGCCTTAGGACCCCCAGCTCCAGACTTCTGGTTAAGCAAACAATAAATGTCCACATAGTCTAAAAAAGGAAGACAGGGGTTTTAGTGAAGGATGAGAGGTAAAGGAGAGGGCAGAGGAGGAGCCTGGGGGAGGAAATTGGATGGGAAGCCCATCCAAGGGGCAGGGCTGGTAGCGCCAGTGGGCGGCAGGTCTGGGAAGGTTCAGAGGGCCCTTGGGTCAGGTTTACACTCTGCAAGCCGCGACCTTGAGCAAGCCACATAACCTCTTTGCGCTTTAGTCTTCCCCTCTGTAAAATGGGTATGATAGTGACTTCCTCGTAGGACACTCTAAGAACTAAACGGGGCGGGGCAAGGGAAGTAAAACTCTTGGCATAGTCTGACTCATTGTGGGCCCTCAGTAGAAGCCGGCAATTATTACCGTCTTCTCAACGTTTGCCCTCAACATGGGGGAAGGTACCCAGGAGAAATGGTAAAGAAGTCTGCCTACGACGTCTCCCTTTCCCAGCCAGGATTCCGAACACCCAGTCTTCCGGCCGTTGGGGTCTAAGGGCGCGAGCGAGGCGGGGGGCGGAGCCTGCGTTCCCGCCTCGAGCGGGGCCCCGCCCCCTACCACTGCCTCCGGTGAGCTTTCGGCCTTTTCCCCACGCCCGACCTCCCCGCGCGGTCCTCCCGGGCCTAGCTTCCCGCAGCCCCTGAGCCCGGTCCGAGGGAGAGGTTCCGGAGCCCGGGCGCGGCCGGGGGCCGGGTGTTGCCGCCGGCCTGCCCGCCCCAGCCCCCTCGGCACTGCCTCGGGAGCTTCAGCTGCCCACGCTGTGCAGGTTTGCTCCGGAGGGTCTGCGGGCGGCGCTGCGGGGAGGAGGAGCGCTGGGAGGGTTAAGCCGGCCAGTCCCCGGTATCCGGTCGCCGAGACCGCCCTCGGCCTTGGGAATCCTTGACTGCCCAGGCGGAAGGAAAGTAGGCGCTGGAGAGCCCGCGCCGCATTTTGATTCATCTCGGGCTCTGTAAGGGTCACATCTTGTGAAAATACCTGTAAAATCAATTTAACATTCAGTGCAGCGTGTAAAGACAGATCTAAGAATTTAAAAGACGCCTGAGTCAGAACATTTAAATGCTTCGGTCCTTGTATCACCGTTTAAACACGTCTGAGTGCAAAGGGTGGAGAATCGAGCCTGATTGCCGCCACCGTTCACGCCCTGTAGCACTTTAAAAGGGTAGAGGAAAGCACCCTAAAAAACCCCAAGTGGGCACTTCCCCTAGGGAGGGAAGAACAGCTGACTTTTTTTGAAATTTGGGTTGGTCCTCATTTCCGTGGGCGAAGTTTCCCTGCAAAATTTATTTTCAGGCTTAGATCCGTGATAAACAGAATGCTAAAACACTAAGTAGTGGCTTTTGTTGACAAGTCGATTGTGTTATTAATTCTTAATGTCTCTTCCAAGGCAGGAACCGTTATCTCAGTTTTGCAGGTGGGAAAAAGTTTGGCACAAAAAATCAATTCCCCTAAATTCGCACAGAAGCAACGGCTGAGCCGCAAATTAAGTCTTAGCATTCTGATACCTCAGCTACGTCCCCCTCTAGACCATGTTACAACACAAATGAGTAGTTACTTTGATGTTACTCCTAAAACCAGGGAGTAAACCAAATGTTCTGTGGACATGAAGTGTTAAATCATAGTAAGCTATGTCTGTTCTGCTTTGGGAGGCTCAGCTTCCCTTTGGAGTTTGATACTTTGCAGAGAGGAGGGGGTGGAGCAAAGAAAGAAAAAAATGGGAAGTCATGTCAAGGGAAAAATTTTGTCTCCACAGAGTCCAAACTGTGCCCATCTTTACTGCCTTTTTGTGTTGATGTCATTCTTTTCAGTGTACTCCGTGTTCTGGCAAAACACCGACGGCTCACGTCGTCCTCCCGGCCTCAGACGCATTAATACACCTTTGAGTTCCTCTTCTGGCCCTGACCTCCCTGTCAGTCTTCTTGTCATGCTCTTTCCTCCAGGTGCTCTTTACTAACACTGTTATGTGAAAACCAGTTGTTTTTGTTCAAGTGTGGAATGATTCGTCACTCCAGAAGGATGTTTCTAGAGTTAATGATCAAAAACTACCAACAGATCTCAGATGAAAGGACAAGTTAAAGAAGCACAAGAAACTATTGTGGAATTTGATAGCTGGCTTATTTGACTGGAGAAAAAAGCAGACCTGGATTTTTTTCCCCCTTTTCCCAGTTCGCTCATAACTGGAAAGCAGCAGCTCAGTTTTAACCTTAGATATAATGGTGGGGGGAGGGGGCCATCCTCCTGTTTAGACTAGTGAATTGGAAAGTTTTCTTTCCCAAGGAGGCTCCTTTTCAGACAGGACCCAGGATGTGTGACATAGTCCCCGCCCTGTAAGAGGTGTTTCTCCTCCCCAGCTTGTAGATGACAGAAATTTGAACCCAAGGTAATTGTCTCTCTGGAGCAGCCAAGCCAGTTTATTTATCTTTTTGTTTCTTTTACTCAGTTGGACAGATAAGAATCACAAGAAAAGCAGATGGCATCCAGGGATTTCTGCTCATCTGGAGAAGGGATGGAAATACTCCAACAAGGTAAGTGTAGCCATTTGAAAGAGGATTGAGGACTTATCCAGAGAGGTCTTACCTAGGGTCTTGTCGTCTATAATCAAAACGGGGAATTCCCTGGTGGTCCAGTGGTTAGGATTCGGCACTTTCACTGCCATGGCCTGGGTTCATCCCCTGGTTGGGGAACTGAGATGCCATGCGACGTTGCCAAAAAAAATAAAAAAAGGATTTATAATGTTCACCAGTATGGTTTCTCGCACAGAAGCCTAACTTTCTAGAGGAACTAGAATACTTGAAGATTCTTAAACACTCTTATTGGCAGACAGATTATACTGACTCCTGTTCGGTACCTGCTAGTGCAGTAGACTAAAATTTCAAGATGCTCCCATGCTGAGTTAGCCAGCATATCCTGAAGATGAGCGTGGCCAGTGAACTTTTGAAAGCTACCTTCCTACCTGTGTCTTGAATTTTCTCATATCTTGTCCTCCAAAATCTCAGATCCTTCCGTATCTTGAATTCTTTGCATATCTCAAATCCTTTCTTGAATCCTTCAAAAACTTGAATCTTCCGTATTTTGACCATTTCCATAGTGATCTTTCAATGCCTTTGAGGGAAAAAAAAGAGAGATTTCTTATTCTCTAAAAGGACTCTGGTATGATGGTCCAAAGAATGAAAATGTAAGTGTTTGGTGAGTGGGAGTAAAACATAAGACCTCAGCAGAAAGCACGTGGGAAAAGAGATGGAAAAAAAGCCCTTTGAGCATATGGAATAAACAGTGGATCCTGACTTCTTGCACTTTTTCTCACGCATGTGCTGTTCTGCATCCACATGGGTTACTCATTCTATTTACAATAAGGAGAATTTGGTTAAATTTTTTATTTCCTGTTAAGAATATACCTTCTCTCAGTCTTGCTTATGCGACTAGAGATCCCGTACAAAGAGGGAACTTTACACATGGTTTTTTTTTTTTCCTTCCTCAAGAGCTCTAGGTATTCTGTGTGAATGAGGCATTTTAGGTACTGTGGTATACCAAAGAGTCCCTTATTCTTGATTCTCTTTGTCTAATATTTTCCAACTGCATTTCTATTTTCTAAGATCTTAGTTTTTTAAGACTCATTGCCTAATTCTTGATTAATGTCCTTGTATATAATATAAATGCTTGTTACTTTGAGTATTGCCTCTAGTTTATTTGTGGATTTTTTTCTTTCTTTCTTTCTCTTTTGGCCACGCCACGGGGCTTGTGGGATCTTAGTTCCTTGACCAGGGATTGAACCCTGGGCCCTCGGCAGTGAAAGCACAAGGTCCTTACCACTGGACCGCCAGGGAATTCCCTATTTTTTGATTTTCTTAAAATTTTCATTCGATTTAGAAAACTTCCCTACCAAAAACCTAGGGGTTTTTTGGAAGTGAGTATTAAGCTAAGAGTTATGCTCAGTTATATAAATTGAGTCCATACTGTCTTTGCTTTTTGGTCCCTATGGGGGACATCCCTTTAAGTGTGCAGCAAACAGCTTCCTCCTTGTAACCTGAGTGAAGAGGACCTATTACAGAACCCACACTTCAGCAAACTGCTGCTGAGTCTCTCACAACACATGGACGAGAGTGGCTTAAGCCTCACACTGGCAAAGGAGCAGGCTCAGGTAAGGGCCCTGGGAGAAGGGCTAATAGGGAGGAAGGAAATATCTTCTGAGAAAGAGGGGTTCCTACCTGGGATTTTTTTGGTTTTCTAGGCGTGGAAGGAAGTTCGATTGCATAAGACAACGTGGTTAAGGTCTGAAATTTTACAGAGAGTCATTCAAGAGCTGCTTGTGGACTACTATGTGAAGACACAAGACAGAAATTTAACTTCTGAGGACAAAAAGGTGAGGCAGGAGAGATGAAGTAGGCATTGGTACCAGCTGTAGGAATGACGAGGCCAGCTATGGCTTCAACTGATTCTATGATCCGGGGGAAATAGGAGCTTTGAGTAGTGGTTATCAAGAAGGAAAGGGACTGTGGTTATGGGGAAGAGGTGGATGTGTTGTCAGGGTTTTGAAAAGAAAGATTGACAGGAGAAAGTACTGGCAGCTGGGAAGTCATCCGAAGGGGATGACACGTTTGAGGACTTTGAAGATGTGTGAAAAACTGGTTTGTGAGGATGGAGGAGATGGAGTGGGAGAAGTTTTATAGTAACTTCTTTTTGTTTTTTATTCTCTCTCTCAGTTTCATGAGACCCTTGAACAGCGGCTGCTCGTGACTGAGCTGACACAGCTCTTAGGTCCCAGCCAGGAGAGGGAGGTGCCCCCACTGCTTGGGCTGGAGAAGGTGGACCTTCTGGAGCTCATGCCACCCTCAGAGGTTGGCGGGGGGCAGATATTGGGACCAAAGAAGGGAAATGGGTTAATTTCTCCCATATATTTAAACATTTTTTGGTTAACCTTTATTGTTTCTACAAAAATGAAACATGTTCGTGGTGGTCAAACTCAAGTAAATAAGAAAGACATTACAAGGAAGAAAGTAAAAGCTGAAATACTAAATCTAGAAATAAATGCAGTATTATTATATACAGCTTGACATAAATAGTATTATACCTTCCATACCTGTATAGAGGGTACAATCTGTTCTCACAATATATTTTGGACTTTTTTCAAGCATATGATTATTTTAAGGTATATATATTTCTTTTCAAATAACTGTAAATAAGATGATACCTCCTAAAACACTCTTTTATTTTTTTTTAATTGAAGTGTAGTTGATTTACAATGTTGTGTTAGTTTCAGGTGTACAGCAAAGTGATTCAGTTATATGTATATTTATATCTATTCTTTTTCAGATTCTTTTCCCTTATAGGTTATTATAAAACATTTAGTAGAGTTCCCTGTGCTATACAGTAGGTCCTTGTTGGTTATCTATTTTATATATAGTAGTGTGTGTATTGTTAATCCCACCCTCCTAATTTATCCCTCTCACCTTCCTCAGGCACTCTCAGCAGTGTCCAGGCACATAGTTGGTGCTCAGAGTCCTTATTGTATCATCAGTTTAAATTACAGATAGGATTCCATTGTATGGATGTAGCATAATTTGCTTAACCTTATTGATGGATATTAATTTAAGGTTATTTCCACATTTTTGCTGGTAGAAACCACACTGATAGGAACATGCTAGTTCATACATGTCTTTGTATGATTATTTTCCGAGTGTTAGTGCTTGAATTGGGATCACCAGGTCACAGGCTACACACATTGAACACACTGGTACGTACTGCCAAACTGCTGTCCAGAGAAGAGCTCCCAGTGCACCTAGGTCCCCACATTTTCATCAACATGGGATCTTGACAGTCATTGTATTCTTTGCTAATTTGATGGGTTAAAAATTAATCTCCCTGATGTCTCTTGATGCATTTTCTTTGGTTATCATTGAGATTGTTAGTCATCACATATTCATTCACTGGATCTTTCTAGTTCCAACAGTCTGTCTACATCTCACTTTTCACTTCTGTGGCTGTAGGATTTTATGTGGATGAGAGCCCGGCTCCTGCTTGAAGTGGAGGAGCAGCTCAAGAAGAAATGTTTCACCCTGCTCTGCTACCACAATCCCAGTTCAGGTGCGTGCTGGCTGTGTTCTGTTCATGGCTGGCCTTCAGGGCTCCTGGTCTTCTCTTTTGAGAATAATGTGTTTGAATTTTAGATTTGGGACAGAAGCTGAGAAGCGTTGGAAATGTTTACTTGTTTGTTTCCTTGCTGGTAGAATAAAAGCAAGAAATTTTGTACAGACTTCTTTTATTCAGCAAAGTGGCAGCGTCCTCTTGCTGCAGGGAAGGATGGTTCGTTCTTAAGAGAATCAGAATGAAATAGGGAGTAAAATTCAGGTTAATAGGAGTTGACCTTATCTTTATTTCTATGATTTAAGAGTTAAGGACCGGGGCTTCCCTGGTGGCGCAGTGGTTAAGAATCCACCTACCAATGCAGGGGACACGGGTTTGAGCCCTGGTCCGGGAAGGTCCCACGTGCCGTGGAGCAAGTAAGCCCACGCGCCACAACTACCGAGCCTGTGCTCTAGAACCCGTGCGCCACGACTGCTGAAGCCCGCGCATCTAGAGCCCGTGCTCCGCAACAGGAGAAGCCACCAGAATGAGAAGCCCGCACACCGCAATGAAGAGTAGCCCCCGCTCAGTGCAACTAGAGAAAGCCCACGAACAGCAACGAAGACCCAATGCAGCCAAAAATAATAAATAAATAAAATAAATAAATAAATAAAAAAGACCCAACACAGCCATAAATAAAAAAATTATTTTTACAAAAAGATTAATAAAAAAGAATTAAGGGCCAAATCTGGAAAGTAAGAGAACTGGGCTGTTTTTACCAGGCCATCAGAAGAAAACCTGGAGGAAGACAGAATCTGTAGGGTTAGATATCGGATAGGGGCACTGAAACATGGCCTTCAAAGGGCAGGAGCAATTAGGGTTTTCCTATCCAGCGCTCTGTCTCTGCCCAGATTCAGACAGTGAAACCCTGAAGGCAGCAAAGGTATGGAACCTCGCAGAGGTCCTGGTGGGTGAGAAGCAGCAGTGCCAGGATGCCAAGAGCCAGCAGAAGGAGCAGATGGTGCTCCTGGAGAAGAAGAGTGCCACCTACTCCCAGGTTTGGCAGGGCGGTGGGATGGCCTCCTTTCTTTTTTACCCTGACCGCAGGGGCCCCTCTGGGGAAGCCAGGGGTTTCTGATCTGCTTTCTTTTCTACCCTCTTTCATGGCCGCCCTCTTGCTCCTGCCTCCCGGGTGCTCAGGTGCTTCTTCGCTGCCTGGCCTTGCTGCAGAGGCTTCTTCAGGAGCACCGGCTGAAGACTCAGTCTGAGCTGGACCGTATCAATGCCCAGTACCTGGAGGTCAAGTGCAGCGCCATGATCCTTAAGCTGCGGTGAGCTGTGAGCGCCGCGGATCTGAGGGACTCCATCTCATACACCACCCACTCCAACCCTCGCCCTCATCTCTTTCGTCTCCATCGCGCCTGGCACCCTGTGGGTGTTCAGTAAATGTCACATAGCAGTATTAGCCTTTGGATTACTCTAAAGCTGTCAACATTCTTGGGTCTTTTATTTTAAAGCCCTCTGAAGTAGGTGGTTTACTGTGAGCTAAATTGCTCGGGAATTTGGAATGACCTTGTTTATCCTGTCACTGCTCAACACAGGACCTTGACCGTTGGCAGGTCCTGGGTCCCATTCCTAAGTCTACTGCTGTTAGGGATCCTCAGCTTGACATTTCTTTCTTCCCTCGGTCAGGATGGAAGAGCTCAAGATTTTGTCTGACACTTACACTGATGAGAAAGTGGAAGTTCATCGTCTCATTAGGTGAGAACTCCCAAGAGCCTGACGCAGCTATTCAGAGCTGGTCCCCATACCCTCCAGACTCATTCATTTTACTGCCTTCTCATTCTCGTGTAGTTTCTGAGGAACCAGATCCTTATATTGTATCTTCTGTGCCTGGGCTTTTAGGGACCGTTTGGAGGGGGCCATTCACCTACAAGAGCAGGACATGGAGAAGTCCCGACAGGTCCTGAACACCTATGAGGTCCTCGGGGAGGAGTTTGACAGGCTGGTGAAAGAGTACACCCAACTCAAGCAGGCAACTGAGAACAAGCGCTGGGCCCTCCAGGAGTTCAACAAGGCCTGCTGCTGAGTGTGGGTGGGTCCAGGAGGCTCAGCTTCTGCATAGGGGCTGCCTCCTCCTCTTCCTGCTGGAAGGGCCACCTCCACCTGAGCCCACCTGCACTCAAGGGGGCGTGGGGACACTTGCTCAAAACACTGCAGTCCTTTAGGCACCCTCCTGGTTTTTCTTCCTTGTTTACAATGAGAGTCTCTTCTAGCAAATGTAACAGATTTGTATAATTTTCTGTACAGCTATTTGTCAGTGTCAGCCCTGTATCATACCTGATTATCTCCTGCATAAAGTGATAATGTTGTATCTGAGGATTTTAGTCATTTTCCTTTGGGCAAAGATAAAAAAAGAATATCAAAGGCTATATGGAAAAAAAAAAAAAAAAAAGGCTATACGGATAAGGAGGGAAACTGAGTGGATCCAAATAGAGATAGATCCGTAATGCTTACTCAAAGTGAGGGAGGTTGAAGGGCCAGCCCACCCACGTGGAGTCTTTCTTTTTATTTATTTATTTATTTATTTTTGGCTATGTTGGGTCTTCGTTGCTGTGCTCAGTCTTTCTCTAGTTGCGGTGAGCGGGGTTCTCATTGTGGTGGCTTCTCGTTGTGGAGCACGGGCTCTAGGCATGCGGGCTTCAGTAGTTGTAGCACGTGGGCTCAGTAGTTGTGGCTCACGGGCTCTAGATCGCAGGCTTAGTAGTTGTGGCACATGGGCTTAGTTGCTCTGCAGCATGCGGTATCTTCCCAGACCAGGGCTTGAACTGGTGCCCCCTGCATTGGCAGGTGGATTCTTAACCACTGCACCACCAGGGAAGTCCCATGTGGAGCTTTAGAGGCTTTGTTCTTAGCAGAAGTGGATTAAAACTGGTCTTGCTCTTGAAGAACTATAGTCTCCAGAGGAGTGCTAGATGCTCAGATGGATAGGGAACTATTCTGTCACTGTGGCTCTCAGTGGGGCGGGTATGATAAAGTAGCAGGGCATCCAGCTCGGTTACAGGAAAGGACACAAGGCATTTGTGTTCCTGCTTCCCTCTGGTGTGGTTTGAGGGTTACTTCTTTCTCTGAGAGCAGAGGGTGGGAGGAGATCACCCTGAGGAACCAAGTTCACGGTCTATTTAGCTTAGAAAAAGGCAGGGCCCTGGCTGGTGTCAAAGTCAGGGACTGCAAACAAGCACAAGACCGACAACCTTATTTAGAAGGGCCTACCCAGCTTCTCAAACCACTTTCCAGGGAGACTGTCTCAAGGTGCTCTTTTGCTAAGATCAAGTAATGATGGTTTTGGATTGATTCATAGGAAAAATTAAGGTCTTTGACTCAACTTTAAATTTTTCTGTAAATAGTGCTTACTTCCATTTGTCTATAAGCAAGTGCTGGCCCACACAAAATGAACAAGAGCAATTAGATTGTACGGTCAGGCCACTGAAGACAGCTGTTCTCTTGCTCTTTGTACATCCCCTGCTTGACCAGTCCCTGCTTCACCTGCACCCTACTCATGTGAACGTGCTTGCCCCCAGCCCCAGCTAGTGATCATTCCTTAGGCCAGAACGGCTCCACCTGCTAGTTTATTTAAGGGAAACATCTGCCCTCCTGACGGTTGCTAACCTGAGGGGCTGTGAGGGATGTGCCTAGCTGCTGGTTTTCCTCATAGCTGATGAGCCAGCCTGACTTAAATCCCCCCTATAAATGGTAGCCTCCTTCTCCCCCAAGTGGTGAAGATTGCTGCCATGTCCTGCCTGCTCTCTGCCATCAGCAGGGGTTGGGGGCTGTTGCTCCAGGACCCTTTTGCTGTGAACATGTAAGATTCCCTGTCCAATAAGACACGGATGTCTCTGTCACTGACTCTGGGCTATTTCTTAGGTCTCGAGGCTGGGCAGCTACAAGGCTTGCAGGCCTGCGGGGTCAGCCCAACATAGATCAATGTAAAAACTCAGAAACAGTCAATATTGCTTAGTTATACTATAATTTTTAACTTAACATTTTTGGGGGAACGTTTTCAAAGCTGCAGAAAAGTTGAAAGAATGGTATGACAAGCACCAGGATACGTTTTTCTTTTTCCTTCAATTTCAAAATTATAGTTGACTGACAGCGTCATGTTAGTTTCGGGTGTACAGCAAAGTGATTCAGTTTTATATATATACATACGTATCTATTCTTTTTCAGACTCTTTTCCATTATAGGTTATTTCAAGATACTGAATACAGTTCCCTGCGCTATACAGTAGGTCCTTGTTGTTTATCTATTTTACATATATAGTGGTGTGTATCTGTTAATCCCAAACCCCTAATTTATCCCTCCCTCCCTCCCCTTTGCCCTTTGGTAACCATAAGATTGTTTTCTATGTGAGTCTGTCTCTGTTTTATGAATAAGTTCATTTGTATAATTTTTTTAGATTCCACATATAAGTGATATCATATGATATTTGTATTTCTCTTTCCGACTTACTTAGTACGATCATCTCTAGGTCCATCCGTGTTGCTGCAAATGGCATTATTTCATTCTTTTTTACGGCTGAGTAGTATTCCATTGTATATATATACCACACCTTCTTTATCCATTCATCTGTCAATGGATAAAGGACATTTAGGTTGCTTCCACGTCTTGGCTATTATAAATAGTGTCACAATGAACATTGGGGTGCATATATCTTTTCTAATTAAAGTTTTCATCTTTTCCGGGTATATGCCCAGGAATGGGATTGCTAGATCATATGGTAACTCTATTTTTAGTTTTTTAAGGAACCTCCATACTGTCCTCCAGTGGCTGTACCAATTTACATTCTCACCAACAGTGTATGAGGATTCCCTTTTCTTTACAAAGAGTGTTCAGTGCACCTGAAGAGAGCACTACGGTGCTGTGTCTTGATCCTTTCCTTCTTCACACTGACTGGAGATGGAAGGTTCGCAGTAGTAAATTTCTCTATTGTGGAGATGAGAAGGGGCCTTGGAGGGCAAGCAGAGAGGTTGAGCGAGAGCTGAGGGTTAGCATCTTGGACCTCAGCTGCCCTCTCCTCCTCACATTTTTCAGAAAAGATTTGCCTTTACTGTCTCTCATTCATTCTATCACACTCCTCTCTCTATTCACTTACCTTTTACCACATCTGATCAAGAACCAAGTCTTGCTGGGAATTCCCTGGCAGTCCAATGGTTAGGAGTTGGCACTTTCACTGCCAGGCCAGGGTTCCCGATCCCTGGTCAGGGAACTAAGATCCCTGCAAGCCCCACAGCCCGGCCGAAAAAAAAAAAGAACCAGTCTTGTTGATTCTTCCTCCATAATGAGAGGCAAAGTATATCACCTCCAGAACTTGGAATAGGATCGCTCTCTGGAAGGAAACTAGGGCGCTCTCAGACAAGCAAAATCTGTCTCCTCCAGGCTTTCAAGGAGGAGTGAATATCCAGGTCTCAAGGGAGTGACCTTGCCTTCATTCTCCCTCAGCCACCACAAAAAGGCGAACCCGCCGCCCCCTGGAGGGCCCCTCACCCCATAAAAAGTCTCTCCACAATACCCATCCTAAAGGATCTGGACTAGGTTTGTTTTTTTTTTTGTTTTTTTTTTTTAATGTTTATTTATTTATTTGGTTGTACCAGGTCGTAGTTGCGGAAAGCGAGATCCTTAGTTGTGGCATACAAACTCTTAGTTGTGGCATGCATGTGGGATCTAGTTCCCTGATCAGGACCTGGGCCCCCTGCATTGGGAGCACAGAGTCTTATCCACTGCACCACCAGGGAAGTCCCTGGTCTAGGTTTTGTTAAGTGAGGCCTCCTTATACCTTGAGATAGTGAAAATATAGGCATCAACTCATCATGAACGAGGTTAGCAATCTGTAGAAAGAATTTTCCCTAAAAGATAGTTATATTCAAGTGGCTGAGGTCCAGCCAAAGTGGCTAAGTAAGGCCTGGTCTCAGAAAAATACAACTGAAATGTAGAAAGACCTAAATGTACTAAGCCTGGCTGAAGAAAGAATGTGTAACCAAACGTAAATGATTAGCCCAGAGTTTAGAAAAGGGTTAAAGAACAAGATCAGGGCTCTCCAGAGGCTCTGGACCCACCCAGCTGGAGCCAGGCCCTGAAGCAGAAGACCTCCCCAATGTCCTGCCACCTTGTGAGACCAGTCAGCATGGCCAATGGGCATCCTTCCCCTGCCACTGCCCCACCTTACTCAGGTCCTCATTTTGGGTCCCTGCAAATTGTCCTAACTGCCCCTCCTCTCATCTTATACACCACTGCCAGGCCAATTTTTATGATGATTCTGACTTGTTTTTCCCAGGTAGTTTGTAATTTTCACTTCATGTCTTTTCCCTGTTCAAAACATGTCAGGTGTCCCCACTGCATACCAATCACAGTCCACATGGCTTAACTGGGAATTCAAGCCCTCACAGTGCAGCTCGACTTTCCAACCTTTTCCCACCACGCACACCTTCTACTCACCCTAAGCCACCCCCCAGTGGGCTTACTCACCCTTTCATGCTTTCCTGTGCTTGTTATGGTTCTATCCACCTGGCAAGAACTCTTCTGCTCATAAAACCCTATCATCTTGGAGGCCCACCTCAAGTTCTGCTTCCCCATGATCATTCCAGCTAGAAAAGATCTCACTGTCGTTTAATACCCACAGCACTTTGTTACAACTTCTTTAAGGTTCCTGTCATGCAGGCCTTGAATTTCATTACCCAACTGGGCAGTGTGTTTAACCCTATCTACAACATCAGAGGCTTCTGGAGGGCAGCTGGTTGTAAAACAGGTGTTCTCAGTCTTTCTGGTCTCAGGACTCCTTTACTTGCCACTATTTTTAAGGACGCCAAAGAGATTTTGTTTATGTAAGTTTTATCTATAGATATTTCTCATATTAAAAATTAAAAGTGAGAGACTATCAGTGGTCTTTTCCTGAAGGATATCAGGAAAAAAATTACTTGGTTTTATTGAGCATGGTTGTTTCTTGAATATAATCCTTTGCCGAGATGGAGTCAGGTAGTATCCGAGCTCTAGTTAGTCACAACTGCTTTGATATTTAAATATGATCTTGATTAGATCTCAATTTTATAAACGCAGAACTTAATCCCTAGTGGCAAACGTAGAACCAAAAGAGCTTTTTTTTTTTTTTTTGCGGTACGCGGGCCTCTCACTGTTGTGGCCTCGCCCGTTGCGGAGCACAGTCTCCGGACCCGCAGGCTCAGTGGCCATGGCTCACGGGCCCAGCCGCTCCGCAACACGTGGGATCTTCCCAGACCGGGGCACGAACCCGTGTCCCCTGCATCGGCAGGCGGACTCTCAACCACTGCGCCACCAGGGAAGCCCCCAAAAGAACTTTTTTTGAAAAATAATTTTTTTATTGACGTATAGTTGATTTACAATGTCGTGTTAGTTTCAGGTGTACAGCACAGTGATTCAATTATACATATATATATACACACACACGTATATATACACATATATATATTCTTTTTCAGATTATCTTCCCCTATAGGTTATTACAAAATATTGAGTATATTTCCCTGTGCTATACAGTAGGTCCTTGTTGGTTATCTATTTTATTTACAGTTGTGTGTATATGTTAGTCCCAAACTCCTAATTTATCCCCTCTCCCTTTCCCCTTTGGTAAGTTTGTTTACTATGTCTGTGGGTCTATTTCTGTTTTTTAAATAAGTTCATTTGTATCTTTCTTTTTTTTTTAGATTCCACATATAAGCGATATTATATATTTGTCTTTCCAAAAGAGTTTTATGTACATGTCACAGGGAAGGAGGCAGCAAATGAGTAAGGCTTAAATGATTTTCTAATATTCCTTGATGTTTGATTGTCCTCTTCCTACTACAGATAAAACGCCACTGAGTGATATCAAGTATATGAATTACAAGCCTATGTCTTAAGAATGGGAACTTTCTATTCAGAAAAAATTGAAGATAATTGCTGGAAGTTTACTTGAACATTATTTTAAAAATTATTTTAAAGACTGAAGAAACTAATACAATATAGAATGGTCTTAGTTGTCATTGTTAGAGAAAAGCAAAGAAAAAAAATCCAAGTAATTTAAATTTGACTTTGAAATGTGATTTGATATTTACATATTGAGATGATGTGTCTGATATCCCAGACATTAACAATATTTAATAAACTAAATATTTTCCCAATCAAAAAGGTTTTAAAAAGTGAGAAAATTTTAAAATATTTATTAATTCATTAAACATAATAAGCCCATTGCATGTTAACATAAATAATACATTTTAATTAAAAAACTGTGTTTTCCAAAACAAAAAAAACTTATGGGGCTTCCCTGGTGGTGCAGTGGTTAAGAATCCTCCTGCCAATGCAGGGGACATGGGTTTGAGCCCTAGTCCAGGAAGATCCCACATACCGCAGAGCAACTAAGCCCATGCGCCACAACTACTGAGCCTGCGCTCTAGAGCCCGCAAGCCACAACTACTGAGCCCGCGTGCCACAACTACTGAAGCCCACGTGCCTAGAGCCCATGCTCCGCAACAAGAGAAGCCACCACGATGAGAAGCCCGCGCACTGCAACAAAGAGCAGCCCCCGCTCGCCGCAACGAGAGAAAACCCATGCGCAGCAACAAAGACCCAATGCAGCCAAAAATAAATTAATTTAAAAAAAAAACAAAAAAAACCCCACAAACTTATGAGAAGAGGGATATTGTTTTATATTTTTGCAAATCTCCTTGGTATCTGGCTTAATAGAAGGCAGTTGGATTCTCATATCTGCTTTCTGTTATGATATGTGGCTTTGGCTGAATAAAGAAAATCTGGCCTCACGCAGACACGTAGGAGATCCTCATGCACCTCCTAAAAAGGACTCAGGGAGCCCCCAAGGTCCTTGGACCACGTTTGGGGAAACGCTATTGCAAAAGAAAAAGCAATGGGTTGGGAATCAGAAGAACTGGATTCTTATTCTGGCTCTACTATTTAGTTGAAGCACAACTTTGTTCAAGACACTGAACCTCAGTTTTCTCGTATACAAAATAGATATATTAATAAGTCCTACCTCACAAGATTATGTCCTGAGCATTAGGACAAGATTATGTCCTGAGGTGAGATAATATATTTAAAGTACCTGGCCTGTGGTAGAGCTTAATAAATATTACTCTGCCCACAGAAAGACAAATACTGTATGATCTCACTTATATGTGAAATCTAAAAGACAAACTCATAGGAAAAGAGATCATACTTGTGGTTACCATAGGTGGAAAGTGGGGGAAGGGGTAATTGGAGGAAGGTGATCAAGAGGTACGAACTTCCAGTTATAAGATAAATAAGTCCTAGGGATGTACTGTACAACGTGGTGACTATAGTTAACACTGCTGTATGATGTGTAGGAAAGTTGTTAAGAGAGCAAATCCTAAGAGTTCTCATCCCAAGGAGAAACATTTTTTTCTTTCTTTTCCTTTTTATTGTAACTATATAAGAAGATAGATGTTAGCCAAACCTGTTGTAAACATTTCACAATATATATAAATCAAACCATCATGCTGTACACCTTAAACTTATACAGTGATGTATGTCAATTATTTCTCAATAAAACTAGAAAAAAACCAAAAACAAACAAACCCAAAAATATTAGTCTGCCTAGGAGGACTGTTACGTTATTGCTATGAGTGAGAGTGACTGCTGAAGATCGGACAGCTACAGGGGCCTAAGGGGGGGGGGGGCTTGTCTAGGTCTTCAAAAGAAAGAAGAATGGAAACAAGCAGAAAGACCAAGGAGAGATCACAGGCTTTAGATACATTGTAAAGATGTTTCCCACATAGTATAAACATGCTTATAGATAACTTGGAAAATACATTTTCCCCCGGCACATATTAAAGTCATTCTGCATGTACGATTTGTAATCTGTGTCATTTAATGGCATATCATGAACATTTCTCCATGTTTATTAAATTTTCTCTGACAACACTGATTTTAATGGCTGCTTAAGGTTTCCTTGCATGGGTGATTTATTTGACCATACCCCTATAGGATATCCAACTTGTTTTACATTTTTTGTAATCATAAAAAAAATACTACACTAGACATTTCTCTTAATGAATCTTTGTCCTAGTTTGTGAACATTGTCTAGGATAGCTTTCTAGAAGTAAAACTATAGATGATGTGTCTTAAGGTTAAGATCAAAGGCTCTGGAGTCAGTTGACCTAGGTTTGTACCCCATCTAAACCCCTTCTTAGGGGGGCAAGTCACTTAACCTCTCTAAGACTTAATTCCTTCACCCATAGATGGATAACATTTCCTTCCTCACTGGGTTCATGTGAAGATTCAGAGTTCTTGTGAATGTAAAGTGCTTTTCATAGAACCTGACACAAAATAAGGGCTCAATAAATGTTAGCTCTTATTACTATCATAAATGCATTCAGGGGACTTCCCTGCCAGTCCAGTGCTTAAGACTTCACCTTCTAATTCTGGGGGTGTGGGTTCAATCCCTGGTCGGGGAGCTACGATCCCACATGCTTCGTGGCCAAAAAACCAAAACATAAAACAGAAATATTGTAACAAATTCGATAAAGACTTTAAAAATGGTCCACATTAAAAAAATCTTTTAAAAAAATTGCATTCATATATTTAATCATGCATGTATACACATACAACTGGCCCGTTTCTGGGCTATTGGTTTTGTCTTTCTTTTTTTAATTTATTTTATTTTTATTTATTTATTTATTTTGCGTTGGGTCTTCGCTGCTGCATGCGGGATTTCTCTAGGTTGCGTCAAGCGGGGGCTACTCCCTGTTGAGGTGCGCAGGTTTCTCATTACAGTGGCTTCTCTTGTTGTGGAGCGCGGGCTTAAGTAGCTGTGGCACATGGGCTCAATAGTTGTGGCTCGCGGGCTTAGTTGCTCAGCGGCATGTGGGATCTTCCCAGACCAGGGCTCGAACCCGTGTTCCCTACATTGGCAGGAGTGTTCTCAACCACTGTGCCACCAGGGAAGCCCCTGTCTTTTTTTCTCTGTCTATTCTTGTACCAACTGCACATTGTAGCCTTTTATTTATTTATACATTGCTTGTTTCATAAAGGGTTTGAGGTAACAGGCTAAAAATGTTGAGCAAATTCCGTCTCCTTTCTCCTCTTTTTAAAAATTTTTCTTTGATTTTCCTTTTTTAAAAATCTATCTTCCTTCCTTCCTTCCTTTCTTTCCTTCTTTCTTTCTTTCCTACCAGGTCTTAGTTGCGGCACACAGAATCTTTGTTGCTGCATGCAGGATCTTCGTTGTGGCATGCGTGATCTTTTGCGGCATGCATTATATTTAGTTGCGGCACATGAACTCTTAGTTGCGTGCGGCATGCATGTAGGATCTAGTTCCCTGACCAGTGATGGAACGCTGGACCCCCTGCATTGGGAGTGTGGAGTCTTAGCCATTGGACCACCAGGAAAGTCCCTTCTTTGCTTTTCTTGTCTGCTTTTTATTACAAATGAATGGTAGAATCATTTTATTAAGTAACAAAGGATTCCATTCAAATTGTGATTGAGGGACTTCCCTGGTGGCGCAGTGGTTAAGAATCCACCTGCCAATGCAGGGAACACGAGTTCGAGCCCTGGTCTGGGAATATCCCACATGCCGTGGAGCAACTAAGCCCGTGCGCCACAACTACTGAGCCCACGTGCCACAACTACTGAAGCCCGCGCACCTACAGGCCGTGCTCAGCAACAAGAGAAGCCACCGCAATGAGAAGCCTGCACACCACAATGGAGAGTAGCCCCCGCTCACTGCAACTAGAGAAAGCCCGCGCGCAGCAACAAAGACCCAATGCAGCCCCAAAAAAATTTTTTTTAATTAATTAAAAGAAAAAGAATTGTGACTGAATGTTGGAAAAGTGAGAAATTAATTTGGTAAGAATTGACATCTTTATAAGATTCATTTTCCAAAGAACATGACTCATTTCTCCATTGTTTTTCAGTCTTTCTCTCTCTCAGCAAAATTTTATGATTTTCTATACAAAAGTTCCTCTCATTTTCCAGTAAGGTTACAGCTAAGTATTTTATGGTGATGTTATTGTTACCTCTGTGAATGGGTAAAAAACTAATCACAATAGCTAATGTATATTGAAGGCCTCCTATGTGCAGATAGGTTCTAAATGCTTTACTATGTATATATATTTTTTATTTTACATTTTTTTCCAGTCTCCCAGTTTATCCCACCCCCCACCCAAATGCTTTACTATATTAACGAATTTAATGCTCATAACAGCTTTATGAGATAAGAACTATTATTTACATTCCTATTTTGTGGATGAGGAAACTGAGGCCAGAGGGGTTAGGTTCACATGGTTAATAAATGGATAAATAGGGCTTTAACCTCTTGCCATCTGGCTCCACTGCCCATGATCTTAACTACTATGTTATTGGGATATTTCCTAGTTCCCAGACCAGGGATCAAACCCATGCCCCCTGCATTGGAGGCATGGGGTCCTAACCATTGGACCGCCAGGGAAGTTCCGGGATATTTTTATTAATTATGTCTTCTAACTGGTTATCCTTAGTTTATAAGAAGGCTACAGATATGTTTTGTATTTGTCTTGTATTAAGTGATGTCGCTGAATGATATTATTAATTCTCATCATTTTAGAATTGATTCTCATGGATTTTCTATGTATACGATCATATCATCGCAAACAATGATAAATTTGCCTCTTTCCAAAAGTTATAACTGCCTTTAAAGAATTTCCAGTCATTGTATTGGATTTTTCAGAATAATATTAAATAACACAGTGATGAGACAAGACATTCTTGTATTATTTTATCTTTATATAAATTGTTGACTTCATAGACACATATATGTGTTTATATATAAAGAATATTAAGACTATTAAGAATGTTTTAGAAAATGGAATTGACTTACCATTTTCTGTTTGATGTCTATTAAAAATGATCAAATGTTTTTCTGCTTGCTTTATTTTTGACCTATTATATAAATAAATTTCCTAATACCTAACTTTGTGTTAATTCCTGAGATAAACACTAATTGGTTCTGGTATATTATTATGTTAATATACTATTGACTTTTATTGTTAATCTTAAATATTTTAGGATTTTTACATTTATATTCCTAAGTGAGACAGGTCTATAGGTTTGCTTTATTTTTTTTCTGTGGAGGGGGCGGGTCCTATTTCTGACAGATTTTGATATTAGGTATATTCTGGCTTCATAAACAAATTGGGTAGTTTTCCATCTTTTTCTATGTTCCAGTACAGTTTCTACTTTCTATTCATT